TAAATATTGTTTCGACAACGTTTCAAGTTGAAATGCAGGCCTACCTATCCTCGCAGTGTTGTCTGGTTTAGTTGTATGTTTCTAATAGTGTTAAAAAACAGTGAGAAAGACATATTAATGACTACAAGTCGCGGTTAGCACTAGCATATCATACACGTATGGCGGCAATGAGTATCGACAAACATGGACAACGATACGTTGGTACGACACACAACATGTGTGAAAGCGTACATTTGGTTACATTGAATATATGTGTCGTGCAGTCACACGATTTGTTAATACAAATCGAAATGTATTTGCGACATTTTTTACTGCAACGCTTTTAATATCGGATCGCATCAGTGTGAAAGCGTTCGCTTTAAATTCATTTATTTTGAATATTCTTTTTGTAGTTGCGATTTACTGCAGGCAGTAAATCGTATCGTTATTGCATTATGTGAAAGTGGTCTAAGGATGAGGTTCTGCAGCTAACACAATTACATTATTCTAATTCTTCTGTCAAGTGTTTGTTTTCGGGTAATAAATATGAAAAATTTCCACCCCTACTGGGTTGTTGGGCAATAATGATTGTAAAAGTCTAGCCCTACTTTCGATATCTAGGAAATTATTATCATTTAACTAGATTCTTCAATTAAAAATCGTTAATCTTGGCGTATTCTAGGTGGAAGTAAACAATTGCAGAAAAGTGTAAAAATTTAAATCTATATTTGAGTGCATAATTGGTTGCATACATAGCAGTGACATATTATAGGTTAAATGCTATGAGCTAAGAGTTTAGGTTAGGTTTTGGTGAACATAATTCCTCTAAATGACATGTGTGAAATGATATACACCACAGGAAAAGGTGTCGCCCAAATTTGGGCGTGTTACAAGTTGATAGTGTATAGTATTATTAAAGAACAAAGGAAACGAATGTCTTATTACTAGTAAACTAAGTGTATCATTAATTTATCGGTTTAAATTTGAACTTACTACAAGTTGAAACCGTTAATTTCTATTTATCATTTCTTTTCGAAAAAGCATATTTTTTGAAAAGAAATCTTTCTCTACAGTAGCATATAAGTATAAATATCCATATATTTCGATATCCTTGTTAGTATTTTGGTCCCGTTTTCTGGTTGCTACATAAACGTAACTATTATCTTACATAAATTCGCTTGCCGATGCGATGGCATCTATCAAGTGTACAGGGTCCCCGATTTATATCGACTTGGCACGCGAATCGAGCAACGAAGCATTTAAATTGCAAACTAATACGACAAATACAATCGAGCGGTGCTGGGCACCACCGATCGATGATGGACGCTCGGCGTCGTTGTAGAAACGTCGGCGACGCGATGCCGGAAGCGTGGCACGATTGGCTCCGCCGATTTTTATTCACTAAACACGACGACGTCGTCGACGACGACCGCGAGGGGGAAAAAATAAAAATGCGTGGCGCTCTCGCGAATAAAAAAAAAAGAAATGTAAAAACGAAGCCATCATAGCGAGGGGCGGGGGCTAGTTGAAGGTTTGCAGCCAGGGGATCCCCCGCCGCATCAACAACAGCCCCTGATCGAGTACAACCACCACCTATTATTTCTCCCGAAACGAACTTTATCCACCATAATACGACAAGCTTTTACGGGACAAATAAGACAGGACTTAATCACGATTAATTAGCAATCATTTAATCGTTACTCGTTAGACGCCGTATTAAGGAAGTTTACGAATTTTTTAAAATGTTTTAAAACTTTTTTGTTTGCGTTTTTGTAAAGCTATAGCTAAATGTTTTATGTCATTTAACGCTTGACGTTTGACGTTATGACAACCAAACCTAACCCATCCTAAAATTTGTAATAGTGAATCAAACAGTAACTCTTTTATTTATCTTGAAAAGTTTTAGTTATATGGCATTTGAATTGAGGAATTAAAGAAATAATACGGGAAAATATGAAACTTAGTTATTTAATATAATTATCTCAAAGTTGATCAAATTTAAACGACATATCTACGGTTTTTAATATTATACAATAATTAAATCTAAACTAGTATTATAAAAAAGTAAAGACTGTTAGTTTGTAAGTTTGGATACAGGAGGTATTCCCNGCTTCATTTTATACTAGGAAATTCAATATAATAATATCTTCTACAACATGTAGCAAGAACTGGTATGCATATCATGCAAGTGGTGAATTGCATACTAAGCGTACTGCAGTATGACGATCAGCTATACAGTAAAAGTTCCTTATTCACGGTTTCCTTACTCGCGTTTTCATTATTCGCGGGTGAAAAAATTGCAACCCAGTTCCTGTATTCGCGGCTAAAAATTTCATTATTCGCGGATGCAATCAGTAAACAGAAAAGAATTCGGTGCCATTTATTAAGGGGATTGACTGCAACAGACCGCTCGTGCTCACTGTGAATTTTTCCGAAAATATTTCTATTCTATTCTATTATAAACATTGTTATTTAACGTTCCGAAATAAATATCTGATTTTTTGTATGGTAACAGACAAAGGTTCACACTAACTCGGTACGTTTTTGGTTTTCAATAATATAGACATTAAAAGCTTTTACAAGTGCTTAAAGTTAAGTTGATGCTTCTTGTAGAACACGTATTTTAAATAGAAATTAAAAAACGGCCTTCGACAGGCTTTAAAACAAAGCTTTATCTATCTTACTACAAAATTTCAAACCTCTGTTCCAAACATTAAACTCATGATATCTAGAACCGATAAGCATATTTTTACTTTATTTTTTAAACTCTTGCCTAAAGCTGATTATAACGATCAATTTTAATTGCGAATTTTTCAATACATTGATTTTATTATGATACATATTGGTCTAATTTCGGAACCTTAGAACGTATCCCTTATGATTCCATACACGGTTTCTGTATTCGCGGCATATTTATGATAGGTTTTACCCGCGGCTTCGCTTGCGTTAATGTGGAAGATCATCGACGACTACATAATATTAATTTTTCTATCTCTCGGGAACAGAATACTTTTTCTAGATAAATGGTACCCTATGTCCTTTTCTGTATTCCTGACAATGTTTGTGCAAAATTTCATGATAGCTTTTGCTCGCGGCTTCGCTCGCGTTAATGTCCTGAATACACGTCAAAGATCATGGACGACCACATAAAACTAATTTTACTATCCCTCGGGAACAATATATTTTTTCTGGACAAAAGGTACCCTATGTCCTTTTCTGTATCCTCGACAATGTGTATACGAAATTTCATGATGATCGGTTGAGGAGTTACGGCGTGAAATCGTAATAAACAAACAAACTCCCATATTGAGGTTAATTCACCAATTATTAAAGTATGACTCACACAGTCGCAGAATGAATATTCTTAAAGGGCGTAGCCCCAGGCACAGCTAATACTTTATTAAAAAAATTGTAATACTAGTTTCTAGATCTTATCAATACCATTTGTAAAAAATTAACATTACCACGTTTATTTGTAATTTACAGATAAAAGAAACATGGCGTGTTTACAGTCTATCAAGAAACTTTTCTGTATTAGATAGCATTCTAAAGTTGGCGTGCTAATTATTACGCCTTTGCTCATTTAGCTACTTTCTAATTTGTACGGTCGGCGCTATCTTGATTCGACAATAATACTTAATCAATTTAAAACTTTTTATGAAGTAATTCTGTTCAATTAGGGGAACCTAAAGAAAGCAGTGAAATTGAAAAGCCTCCAATTAACTTGATGGTAAAACACTGTGATTTAAAATCAGCAATCGTGAAAATGAACAGGAAAGTTTTAGAAAGTTCAACTTGAAGAAAAAAGAAAAAAAACATAAAAACTTCATTTTGAAAAAATACACCATTTTTTATGATATGTACGACTTTTAAATTTTATGAACAAATTTTTATACATGTTTGATACTTACAAACATGGTTGTGTTGGAAATACACTTAAACTTTCAAATTTGCATGTCTTTATTTATCATATCATTAGAGCGTTTCGACTACGTAATATCTTTTTTATATCTGCTGATTAAGTTGCAGATATCTAATTTTTTTTTTTTTGGAAAATAAGATTAACTTTTACCAATGACAAAACCTGAAAATAATTTCGCGCTTGTTGTTCTTCAGGGACTCATTTTTCCTTTTTCTTTATATTGCAGACATTGATCAAGTTCAGATTAAAAATCCCATTAAAATTTCGATCGAACGGCATACGAATGTGATTTATAGAACGGGAGGAAAAAGAGAAATACGTCAAAGTTTTAATTTTCTTTCCTCGCCCCTCACGTCCGCCGTCCGCTTCGCGACTCTACATTCCGTGACCGAACTCCTTTTAATATTCCCCCCGCGTCACCATTTTTCAATTTTGCTACCCTTTAAACATTTCTTATTTACACAGCCACCCCATCAGCCAACCTGCCATAATGATCTTACGTTGAAGTTGCTTTAACTTTTTTAATCAGTCCAAAGTTTAATTATAGAGAGAGAGAAGAAGTACGCGGGCATTACAACGTCAAGTCAGCCTCAGTTTCTTGCTTCTCTAATTCACCCTGGCAACCCCTCCTTCCCGTATTTCATCTCACAAGTATCGATAAGGAAAATAAATAACGATGTCTGCTGGAAAAATCCTTGTAGACCGTTTACTTATCGCATAAGCAAAGAAAATGAAGCCAGTTTGGAACAACCGTTACGAAGAAATAAATTTAAACCGATAATAATGCAACAAGATAAAAAAATATACCCTCTACTTCAACATACAGAGACTTGTGTTGTTATTATTCTAAGTACAGCGTCGTCAAATTGTTTATATTCTTTACGTTGAAACAATTGAGAGAAATTGTCATTTGTATTTTACTTGTATCGAATAATAAATCCTAACCACACTTTTATTGACATGCTTGATCATTGTGTGCAGAAACTTGCGCAATCATTTCAAATTTTCAGTATAAAACAATAAAAAAATATACAATACATTAAGTACCCAAAATTCGATCTATCTCCTTAGTAGGTAAAAAGAAAAAAGAATGACTCACCAAAAGTGACAGAAGTTTGGCCAATGGTTCGCAAATCTGAAAAAAGAATACTTTTGTTAGTTTTTTATTCTTTCAGAGGAAAATAATATAATGCATGTACATGTTTAATATATTTGACAAAAGTGCAGTTTAACACTCCTCATGGAGTTGACTTTAAATATTTCAATGCTACCAACATAATATACTTTAAATATCCGAAGCTAAGTGTCATAAAAATAATCAGAAATAATACGAATGAGCAACTGTCATGATGACTATCAAACAAATAGAAGGACATGACTCAGTTGTATGTGTTGTCTTTTCTACCGTAACATCATGATTTTAAGTGTATCTAACGAAAAAAAAAAGTTTGCAGCACTACGAAAGATTGCCATTTTATGGAGCCAATTTAAAATATACATAAATAGTTAAAAAATCCACACTAACTTAAAGACAACACAATAATAAATGATTATAAAGTTGAAAAAAACCCTCACATTATTAGACGAAACATTGAAGTCGGTTTTGTTTTGGAATTAAAAACCTCACAATCTTCGTTAATTCTGATTCTCTACTCATATCCATGATTTGTTATCTTTCTCTGTTTCTAGTGCAGGATCTGCAGCATATATAATTTCTTTTCATTCCCATGCAATTCTTGTTCATATTATCTATTAATTATCCGTTTTAATTTCATTTAAACCTACAACATTATTTTGACAGACAATTCTTTCATATCTTCCTCATCCCATTTCACATATTTTCTATGTTTTTGCATATTCAAATATAAAAGAAAAATAAAGTTTCTTAAGTTTGGACGGCCCAATTTAGGAACTAACGATTTAGAATACCATCACCTTCCTTTTTTTATTTTTCAAATTAAATAACTACACCGACGTTTCACCTTCGGTTTTAAAAAAGCTTTTGGAATGCTAAAAATTGTAATGTTTGACTATATAACGTATGATTTTTACTGTAGTACCTACTTTTACCATACAATTCTAATTATTCAAACGCGAAAATTGCGCATGATATATACAATTTGATGAAGTGTATTGAAAGCATTTCTGTAGATAAATATGTATATATATTGAAAACTAAAAAATATCAAAGGAAGGTATATTAATTGGAATCACTTAGTAATGCTAAATAAAGTTAACGTAATGCAGCACCCAAAATTAAAGGAAGCATTCAAAACTGGACGTCTATCCTTTAACAATGAGAGACAATGATTAATTAATGTGGTCACAGACCGGGAAAACCTAAGATTATCAATGGAATATGAAAATATCAGGGAATTTAGATGTGACACTTCAAAACTTCGACTTTTTCAAAAATAAAGATAAAATTTGTTTCAATCATGATACTTTTCATTAAATATTTTAACTCACAGTATCATTTTATTTTCTTAGTTAATATTTTTTTTTATTTTCCCGCAATGATAATTAGCATGTTAATTTGTGAAAAATTATACCAACATCATTTAATGCTGTTTTAGTTATTATTGCAAAAAAAATTATTAAAATAAAAATTACAACCAGGGAAAAATATGATAAATTGTATTGGAAAACCGGGGATTTTCAGGGATATTTATGATCATTTCGTAGTGGCGACCCGGTTAATATATAAAACCTTTAACTTAAATATTGACTGCGTACCTAATTAGAAAAAACTAACTCCCTTATTATAATACGGTGCCAACAGAAAAATAAAAGGGTTAAAATACTACGAATTCCGATTTTATTTTCATGTAAATGTAGTAACATATGTATGCGCACACAGCTAGGCATAGTGCGTATGTGCGTGTTTAAAATAATTTCTTATAAATTACCATCATTAGTTGCACTGCATACATTCACTTACTGATAAAATATCCGCAACGATAAATTAATAATATCTACTAATAATAATAATAATGCGGATTACTAATACTCGCATGTTTTGCTGTTTTGCAGGAAACTCGCCTTATTCTTTCATTACTTCATTGTACAGCAGCGCTCCGTGCGTCCTGTCTCAAGCCTTGATAGGGAGAAATACACGCAATAAATCAAACATTAATCGTACGAAACGAATGGTCTGTCTGCTATAACGTTTAAAACGTTTCGCGAGAACTGAATAATTATTACGCATAATTACGCTCGAGTAAAAAGCGTTAAAAATTTACGACGACGTCGAAGCCGCCGCCCTAATACAAACCCCTGATCCCCTTCCTCGCGTTTTTACCAATTTTTTAAATGCCTCTAAAATTTCAAGGTTGTAGCGACCATTTGGTAATTTTTTTCGTTTATTATTGATTTAAACACTTTTATGTTGACACATATACCAGGCTTCAAGACTTCTAGCACTCACTGAGCGACAAAATCGATCATTAAACGCCTTGTGTCTTCTTAGATCTATCCACAATACTCAATTTGTGCAGAAATAAGTGCAATGCGTTCTGGAAAAGTCAACAGGCTGTAACAGTAACGTAAAAATTGTGCCAAAAAAGATGAACCGGCTCAAACCATTTCCAAAGCCGATATTCACCAAAAAAAGGTGATGCTGTCTGTTTGGTGGGATTTTAAAGGAATCGTTTTTTTTGAGCTTTTACCGGATAACACAACGATTAATTCGGAAGTCTACTGTCATCAGCTGGACAAACTAAATGATGCACTTCAACAGAAAAGGTCAGAACTAATCAACAGGAAAGGTGTAATGTTTCACCAAGACAACGTGAGACCTCACACAAGTTTGGTCACTCGCCAAAAGCTTTTACAGCTTGAATGGGATACAATGCTACACCCACCATATTCACCAGACCTGGCACCATCGGATTATTATTTGTTCCAGTCACTCCAAAATTTTTTAGACGGTAAAACCTTCACCTCAAATGAGGAGGTCAAAAACCTCCTCGATCAGTTTTTTGCCAGCAAAGACCAAAAATTTTATGAGCGTGGAATTATGCTACTACCAGAAAGATGGCAAAAGGTGTTGGACCAGAACGGTCAATATATAATTTAATAAAGTATTTGTTTATGACTTTCCGAACAACCCTATATTTATAGTGGAAACTAAGGCAAATTGAAGTGTAAAAACGCGAAACCAGATGCAGATGCGGATGTGAAAATGTATGCGGAACTTCCGTAATTGCGAAAGCGGAAGCAGAGCTCTATTACAACAGTACTATACAGTCACACATCAGTAAAACACATAGTAGATCGATTAGTTCGATTTTATTAAAACTTCCACGCCTCCCCCCCTCGTACCCCTCAGCACTCTTGCAGTTTGATAGAAGTTTCAAACTTGCCTTTAAATCACTCGCTACCGCAAGCAGACGGCAGTGTAACCGAAACTTTTTCATCTAATTAAGACAAAACGCGAACTGCAACTGAACGACGTAATTGGGAAATTAGCCCGATTTTCCGATAACGGTCGAGTCCCGAGACAAACAATTACCCGACTAATTGTCGACAGCATTAAAACTTTATTATTCGATTAATATCGTCGTTTGAGGAGAAGTATTACCAATTCCAGGGAGATAGTCTTTTTTTATTGCCAAATCACGCAAATTAAGTGTTATCATTTTATAAGTCATCGTAAATCACTAAAAATTAACAGCTCATTTTAAATATTCCAATCAATATAACAAATCCAATGAGGTGCTTCATTATCACCAATACTAACAAAATTGTATTGATCTATAAAAGTCTGAAGTTGAATTAAATTAGTTCTGTTAAATGAAGCGTTCAATTAGATTCGATTAGATTAGACTAAGTCTTCCTAGCGTTTCTGCAAGCAAAAGAATTTTAAGACCTATCTATCCCATGGACCTTTAGAATTAAATTGAGTCATCCTTTGGAAAACATATTCGTTCGAAATAAAGGCGATCAATATTTATCTACCTCTCATCGAAATGCGCACGTTCTACTTAACCACAATTGCGCAATGCAACAAAAAAAGACCTAACGCACTTTTAAAACTGCATCGAGCTTTCTTCCGGCTAACATTTATCTGTTTTGTTTTTGTCAATACGACTGAGAACTAAAAGTCAATTACCTCACTTTAACAGGAATAGAGACTGAACACGTTTTATCTCATGACAACCTTCAACATACTGCGGAAGATATACAAGTGATTTAGTTCAGTTATATATATATATCTATGATCTGATATAGAGAAGGTTAGGTGATTCTAGAATTAAATTTATCAGGTTAGGTTATTGGGATCCGTCAAATGGGCATACACCATCTGGTGGCAAAATTTATAACTCAAATGAGGGAAAAAAAAATGAGTAAAAATTTTTTTGATGGAGTCTACGAGGTTTTCTTCTAAAGTTAAATCAAATAAAAATTTAATATGTTCAGTGAAAAGCTGCAATAGCACTTCAGACATAGATCTTCACTCTTCACCTACATTAACTACTTTCCAATAAAAACTAACCGTTTTATATATGNTTTTACGTGGAAGTAAAATGTAAATTATTTAAACTCGTAATTTCGAGTTTCGTTATCTAAATCTGATGATTAAGTAGTTTTTTGGTAATAAAACACGCAATAAAATTCGTCAATCTGTATAATACGTAATATATTACCTATCATTTTACTTAAAAAAAGGAATTTCGATTTAATATTTGACACAAATAATTTATTATTGGTAATAAAATTCTTCTAACAATGACACGGAAATATGCAGGTGCGAATCACGTCTGATGAGAGTCTAGAGTGACTGAAATCTTTATCTCCACGAAGTTGATAAATATATCTAGCTACAGATGAAACTGGAAAAAGTTTCTTGCGGCCGCTATGAGATCACCAAAGTTATATAGTCAAGTGTAATATCCTTAATTTATTAATAGACTATTTTAAGCATAAAATAATACAATAAGGTCGAAGGGATGGGTTACCCAAGGTCAATCATATAGAGGATCAATGGAGAAATTGCTAGGTTTTGGTGGGTAATAGTTCGGCCCCTACCACCGCAGAAAAAAGGGGAAAGGTTAGGTTATGGTGGGTAGAGGCCCCCCCCCACTCCTTCCACAAACAAAAAAGTTGACAGACGGTGTTATCCATAGACATATT